TTGACAGTATTGTTTTTTATTATACTTCACATAACATCAAGAATCAAGAGTAAACAAAACAGACGTACAGTAGCTGACACTTTACAGCAACTGACAGGGGCAGTGGCAGTAGTAGACACTAGCAGTGTTGCCCAGGGCCGGATCTAGGAACCGCGAAACCCCGCAATGCAGGGGGGCCCAAGCCCTTAGGGGGCCCAAAGAGCTCTATAATTTAAAATTATTTTAATGCATATAAACATAATTGAATAGGACGGTAAGTTTAGTTTTGACAGACAAATATTGTCAATATCAAAGCTAAAGTTACAATTATTGAGTAAATTTAGACCTACTGATTTTACTCGTCAACAACTCGGGACCTCGCCGTAGACAGTTTATCTGTGGTGTACTGTCACTTTCAGTCAGTCCAGTCTGTATGCTCAGCTCAGTCCAGTCAGCTCGTCAGCTGCAGTGCACGCTTCACAGATCCACTACTACAGTCCGATCAGTTTATGATTTGTAAACCTATTTGAAAGGCTAAGAAATCCTATTGACATAAGAATAAAAAAGCTTTATTTGAAGTTTTTTATTTTACTGTTTTTTTTAGTTCATAAATTTACAAAATTACGAATTTTAACGAAAATGTTTTTTTACAAACATGATCAGTATTTTATCTTTAAAATAGCATTAAAATTCAGTTTCAGCTACTTATATTTTAAACATTCCCCCCCCCCTCCCGCAAATAAGGCCTCCCTGCTATTGATGCCAGCTCTAGGGGCCCTTGGAGGATTTTTGCAGGGGGGCCCATATTTTGTAGATCCGGCCCTGGTGTTGCCACCGCGTTGCTGCGATTTTACCCTAAAGGCGGGCTAAAATTACCCTAAATTACCCTAAATCTACTTTGAGTTACCCTAAAAATTACCCTAAATGTTAATATTTGCGTTTAATGCTATAAAACATTGTTAAAATCATATAAATCCTACATAAGGTGGTTAATTATACTAAATGAAGTTCCAATATCAATCAATTTACGTAAAATTATACTCGATTCTAAAAAACCACCCGAAAGAAGAACAAAATGTTGATATTGATCAGCTCTATCGACTATCATATAGCGAAAAATATCGAATCAAGAACAATCGCATTTTTTTACTGTATCGACCCATTACTACTGGTTTTGGACAATCATATCTTTAAAATACAGTAGGGTACCACCAAAGCTTTAATCTATAGTAGTAGTAATTTCTTGACACAATTTGTAAAATAATCCAGTTTAATTCAATTCAGCCACATAATTAAATATCAAACCCAGTAATGAATAATATTTCATATATTATTAGGCCTATAACGTGTTATAGAATCGAATACATTCTAAAACAGATAATTCCCAACTATTGATAAGATCGATTAGGATAGGCCCTAACTTATTATAAAAAATTCATAATAGCAATCGATTTAAACCGATTTGAATCGAATATGATGGTTTGGCCATAGTAGCCTATTTAATGAACGTTTTTTTGCCAAATTTTGAAGTTTTTTTCATTTTTTTAGTAAAATTTCCATTGTTATGCTAACTTTTAGTTTTACCCTAAAATTACCCTAAATCTACCATTACCCTAAACTTTACCCTAAGACCAGTAAATTACCCTAAAAAAGGGTAATTACCCTAAAAGTGGCAACACTGGACACTAGACACTAGACTGTCTGGGGATAGTACAGTGGAACTGTAGCACTAGCCAACATAACAAAACGGAAAGTTGAAAAAGGCAAAAAATATATATGAGATAGTAACGTTAGACTGGTAACTAAACTAGTGCAAGCTATACACTGAGCGGCTTCAGGCGCGAAAAATACCATGCGCTAGTCATAAAATTATTTTTTTGCATACTCACGGTAATTAATATATACATTACTGTATTATATATCAACGTGTAAGTAATGAAATACAGAATCCAAATATGCAATAAAAAAAATCAAAATTGTATGATTTTCAACGATTTAACTCCTTTTAAAGGAAGGGGGATTTCCTTACACCATGATGGGTGGAATTCGACATCTTGGGTAATTTCACTATTTAAGGCCTAAAATGGATATAAAAACTTTTTTGTTGTTAATACTTACTAATACTTTATGTTAGGCCTACGTGGTGAACAGACTGTAACTGTTCCTTTGTATTTGTAATTCTGGAAGTGGAACTACTGGAACGGAATGGGTTGAGTTGAGGTTAATTTCAACAAAAGAAACGATAACAACAAAACCAAGAGTGGCAAACTCTTTCCCGGACTTTCTGCCCTTGGAAAAACCCATCATAATGTATGCTGACGCACCATTTTATCACCAACTTTACCTCAAAATGAGAACTCGACCACTGAAGAAACCCTGAAACTGGCTGCTGGCATTTAGTCCACATTAAATCTACAAATTAACAAATCCAAAACAATCAACGTAAATTGTTCAACAATCAACCGAACCAACCCTTTACCCCCAGCCAACCCAAACAAATCAATAGCCTCAGCCACAACAACTAAATTCCTTGGCATCACCATTGGCAGCAATATAAATTGGCATGACCACATCTCCTCACTGGAAAACAAACTATAATCATCTCTTTTTACAGTTTAAAAAAAATCCCAAAATTGCCTACTTCACCCTTTTTTAATGCCATATTAGGCTTGGCATTATCGCCTGGCGATCTGCCTCAATTACACAAATAAAAAAGCTAATATCGCTCCAAGAAAAATCCATAATGACGATAGAATGCCTTCAACCATCAACAGACTGCAAACCCTACTTTATTTCCAACCGGATCCTAACCATTACATCCATATACATCCTGGAAATCAGCAAAATTCTTAAACTAAACCCCCCTAAAAACAGAGGAGACTGCCATAAATATAAACTCAGGAACACAGATCTAAATTTCGACATTCGACAACACAGCTAACTAAAACTAGTAAAACCCCCCAAATTTCTGGATCAAAAATTTTCAATGTTCTCCCTGAACACCTTGAACAAATAGCCAACACAACAACCTTCACAAATATAAAAGAATACCAGATTGAAAGACCCTACTACACCCTAAGCGATTTCTTCGACGACCACAAACGTCTCAACAAATAAACTCACACACACCTACCCCAACCTCAAGAATTGACAATTCACTGGTCTTCAGGACTACGGAGAAGAGGAGCCTGTATATACCTGTACAGGAGCCTGTGAGGAGCCTGTAGGTATGTATGTACATACATACGTATTTTAATACATACATATTATTTTAATAGGCCTATCACGCCATGACAGCGACAGCCAATAGAATGCTCTCATTTCGTCCATATTGAAAACCTGGGGCTGAAATTAAAATTGAGCTGTCAGTCCAGTCCATTTCCATTGTTTTTTGTGCTTTTGCGAGGCTTTAGTACACTGAAACCGCGCATCATCTTACAACGAACTTTGATAGATGAAACCCTGAAAGTCTATTACATAATATATTATATTAAATCTATCATTTATACCGGGGAACGAACTGGTGTAGTGGTTAGAGCGCGGGACTTCAGTCCCTGATGTCCTCGGTTCGATCCCGCCAAGTCACCAATGGATTTTATCCAAGTGATAATGCCGCAACTCCTAGGTATAGCCTGAAGTAATGTGAAAAACAATCCCAGGCTCGTGCATAGCGTCCTATGACAAAAAACCTATCATTTATACCATACGATAACACAAGTCAACCTTTCATCCCATTGAAAGATGAAGCTTGTTTTTATATTTAGCTCATGTTGCTAGCACTGAGCTCTAGTGACGATGACATTTTGTTCGTCCTATTTTAGGGTTCTTTTTTTTACTTTTGGGTTATAAATCAAAATGACAAGCTATTGAATCTGATTAGATACATTCAACTTGCTAAAACGAAATATCTATAAATCGTTGCTTGTCCTGTGCTATTTTAACCTAAGATAAAGTGGAAATCATATAATCTACCCTAAAACAAGATAAAAACATGAAGTCAAGACATCATCAGTGTCAATAACGTCACCAACATTGATCATACATAAAAACATGCTTTAGATTTCATATGTATAGTAATAGTATTTAGTTTAGAACTAGCAGTATATTTGTACTACAAGTCAAAGTCAATGTATCTACAAAATAACGCTAAGATATGATGATCTCTGCCAAAACCACTTCCTGGCATAAAATCATCAGGATCAGCAATTATTTCAGTTATATTCAAAACACAACTGAGTATTTAAAAGCTTATAGTCACCAAAAGCCCTGTTCATCATTTGAATACCGGGTACCGTACCTAGAGTTAACTTAACCTTTAAACTGTTTTCAGCCATAGACTAATTGAATGTTTCATCAATGATTAACATTCTCCTTTAGTAAATTTGTTATCCTTATGGTTCAGCTAAAGTGCTAAAGACAATCTAATGGTTAGTTCCGTCCAGTGCTCTTGTTTGATTTTTTTTATTGTTAAAGTATTTGCACTTCAATTGTCTATAACCTCGTTTAGCCAAATAAAACGAATAATAAACAACAACTCGTTCCCAAAACTAAACAAACAGTAAAGCAGAAATTGTGAAATAGACCCTGAAATAATAAAAACAAAATTTTAGAGACACTAGGAATCAGTGTCACTAACATGAACTAGACACAAAAAACTTAATTCCTCGTCCAACAACATAACAATTAATATAACAATATAATTAATTAATTAGTTTTAATATAACAAACAATATAACAATAAAAATTAAAAATTAAATTCCTCGTCATTTCCATCCCTTAAATCCAACTTGGCAATAATTAGAATGTAAATAATATGTGGAGTAAATTCTAACAAAAATCCCCCCTATTGAGTAAAGATATGCAGCCAAATGACCCTTTCATCTCCTATGACGTCATCAGATTTTCACTTGTTGCCTACCGTATATCTAGTTAGCAATCATGTTTTAGTGGTTGCCAGCTGCTACACGAAACAGCTGACTCCATTTAAGTATCGCATTGTTCATTGTTACTCAATTTGTCCTTGAAGAAATCGATTTCTCAAAACAACTCACAAATCCCATCCAGAAGAAATAGGATATTTTAGGTACTGAAGTTTTTATTCAAGGTAAACAATAGCAATAAAACTATTTTACCTATTAGCTGTAAAAACAAATTTAAGCTGTACAGTAGCTCATTAAATATATTTGTAGCTTTAAACTGGAGTTTTTAAGTAATTAGACATGTTCATAAGTTGATAGGTTTGATTAACAGGCTATACATACTGTGCCTAATTATCCATTTAACACTTTAGATAATCAGCAATTGGTTTATTTGTTTTTTCAGTATTTTATTTAACTATGCATATTTTTTTTTTTTGTTTTGGTATTATTTTTAAATTGTAGTCAAACCTAAATCATTAACACACACACACACTTATATATATATATAACATGATATCTGTTGTTCACAAACATAATCATTTTTTATTTATGTCTGTGTTTAGAATGATAGTGAATCCAACTTATAATGGGATCTGGCTTCCCAGTTTGTATGAAATATGACTTAAAAACCTTTAAATTTGGATTATTGAAAATTCTCTTTTTTTTTAAATTACACACAAATTATTTCTGCATTAAAAAAGGTTATTGGATTTGGATTTAAAAAGCTTTAACTTTGATTCTGTAGGCTATATGGTTTTGATTTAGTCATAATTGTTTTTGTGGAATTTGAAATTAAAGTTTTAAAGGGTGAAATTTTTAAAATAATTAAACAAAATTCTAAAATTTGATAATGAATTCAACCATTTTATGATAAAAGAGTCATTAGATTTGAAATATAAGTGGTTAAAATACCTGTATTTTATGTACCGTGATCCAATTGGTTGCAGTAGCAACTAGTTTTGGTTCAACACTGGAACCATCCACTTATGAAGCCTGATAATGGTTCTAGTGTTGAACCGAAACTAGTTGCTACTGCAACCAATTGGATTAAATAAAATGCAGGTATTTAAACCAATTATATTCTATTGGTATTCTGGAGGCTATTTCATATTTAAAAATGAAATTAGATCTCTATTTTATTTCATGACTTTTGACTGTGCAGGGTGCTGCATTAAAGTTTTTTTTATGTTTAATAAATATATATTATGAAGCTTGTGATAGCAATAACCTTAAGGTTTATTTCAAGATTCATAAAAGTATCACCAAGCTGTTATAAGCAATAATGTATTATTTTTGGGGAAAAAATTCATTACCTATGGCGGATTACGGTTAAACCAATTGAAAATAAAAATATGTTACTTGACATGTTTTACTCATTAAGCAAAGGAAAATATGGTTCTGCATAGTCCAGTATACATTTTTTAATACCCTGCACTAAAAAGTATGTTTATGAAATCATAGATGTCTTAAAATTCAATAGAGATCATAACAATTAAATATGTTTAACTGTCATGTTTCAAATAAAAAACAACACTAATGTAGTTTTCTTCTGTAATTAATATTTTACTGAATTAGTTGTGTTTTCGTATCAAACAACACTGCACAAACTTTACTTATTATTACTAATGAGTAACATGATTACACTTGAGTCTAGAAGGTTTGGTCGTCACAAAATCTTTATTTGAGACACTAAAAGTTTTTCTTGTTTAACAACCATAAGATTATCATAATTAATGTTTTCAAAACATAAAAGTCTGGCACAATATATTTTTTAACTTTTATTCAATAAATAATGAAACATTGCATTACTAATTGATTGTTTTCTTATTTCCTGCAATGAACAAGCCCCCCAGGTCCCGTTGGTCTTTTTGCTTGTATCTCGTCAGAACCATGATAGAACTACCGGAGGAGATGGAGATGTCTGACATAGGGGGTGTGAAAAGTCCTCGAGAAGCTGCATGGGCCCTTATTGATGCTACGACAAGTGGACCTGCAGAAAGGATCCACGACTTAATCAAAAAGGTAAGCCTAATACTATTTGAATGATTCAGCAGTTAAATTGTAATAGTATATTTGTAGGTACTTGTATAGGTCTTAGCTATAATTAGGTATAGGATGAGTTTACAGTAAATTTATACTCCCTACGAAATCTACTCATAGTGAACACTGTATACTGTACTTCTCTGTAAAGTCTAATTTAACTTAATATATTGAGTTATGGACATTGGTTGTTGGTTGTGACACTGCTATTGATCTCATATTTCACATCCCATTTATTTGGGTCTGATTTTCAAGTTCCAGCTAAATTGTTCTATGACTGTTCTGCTACTAGATAGACTAAAAACCTAGTACTTTAATGCAATGTCTATATGTTGAGTAATACATAAACGATGCATGGTTGTCAGGGTTACATAGGCCCTATGTGTGACTTTCTGCTGAGTCTTGACTACAACGTTGTCCAACAAGCTATCAACGCCGTGGAGATCATATTGAAGCTGGGTGCTCAAGACGCCATAGACAATGCCTATCCTGTGAACCAGTACGCTGTTCTCATCGAGGAACGCCGTGGTCTGTATCTCAAATTACATTAGGCTTTAATTGCATCATATTCGAGTCTGTGCTAGTAAATTCATATAAAGAATTGTTTCCTTTAAATTATTCATATTGTGTATCTTGACTTTTTTAATTGATCTCATACTAGGGATATAACCATCAATATCATCTTGAAAGGGCATTTTTACTTTAATCAGAAACTAGTGCATTATCATTTGTAATTATTATTAATAATTTGTTATTTAGTAAAATTACCATTGTTTGTTTAATTTGCCTTAAGTAAAAATAATGAATTGTCATTTAGTTGATTTTAATCAATTAATCTGGTTAAAATTAAAAAAAATTGTTAGTGATTCTAACTAATAAAAAAAATGAGTTTTCTTTCAGTGCCTGAGTGCCTCTCATTAGAAGCTCGTTGCAACATATCTTATTACAGTTTTTATCTAAAAACACTAAACCAAATAATAAAATAGGACTATTTAAAATATAAATACAAGATGTTTGATTATTATTAACCTTGTCCCTGGCTTTGGTGGTATTGAATGGTTGGATCTTGGATCAAGGATATGGAATGTGCATAACATTCTAGAAAAGATAATAAGACTTACATAAATGTGTGTTGAACATTCAAAAGAAAGGGTTAGAATAGAAAGAGAATACACATATACTTTTCATATCACCACAGGAGTAAGGCTAGGATATATGCTATGTCGCCTTTTGTTCAATTTTGCTCTGGAAAAGTACTGAAAGAAACAGAGACTGGACCAAGAGGGACATAATATTGAACAACAAATACCATGCTGGATGTTATGGGATACAGTTTCAAAATTATTAAATAATTTGGGAGTTTTGTAACTGTTCAGTTGCAATAAAATGGAATAGGAGATATAAATGAGGTTAAATACTGTTAATAACACACTAATACTGTACTGTGTGTGGTTAATACTGTTAATACTGTTACTGTGTCACTGGAGTCTATACAAATTTTGAAGAGGAATAAATACAAAAAATAGAATATAAACAGTAATAATACCGCTAGTTCTCTTGTATAGTTCAGAGATGTGGAAACTAACAAAAAGATCCTAAAGATGTTGATAACGTTTGAAAGTAAAATATTGAGAACGATATCTAGACCACTATTCAAGACGGGGCTTGGAGAATACTGAAAAGTCGAGAACTCTCCAGGAACTCGTACTGAAGACTAGATGTTGCACCAGTGATAAGAAGTAGGAGAATTAGATTGCTTGAACATTTGAGAAGAAGAGACAAGAATGCAATGATAAGAAGAGTGTGGTGAGGTCGAGTAGAAGAAAGGCAGGGAAATAAAGATAAAGTTGCTGACTAACTGGCTGGAGATGTTAGAAGAAAAGGAGAAGCGGACAGAGGAGTCAGGAAGCAACTTGTTGGTGAGGCCAAGAATCAGCTTGTATTTGAGTGGACACTGTGGGAATTGTTTAGTTTAATATAGGAGGTAGTTTTACAAATATTTTAAAAATACAATTCATCTTTTAAAAACTAATTCACTAACATACTTGATTCACAATGTACTGGTTCTTTCATATTTTTAGCCATAAAAAAACTTATTAACTTCTAACAAATATGGAACTTCTGACATATTCCTTGTACATTTTACTGCTTTGCATTGTTTTTCTTGCAGGTCTGGATAAACTCAAGTTTCTTGAAGCACATAACGTTGATGAAATCTCCATGAAGGCATATGACATAATCGAAAACTTCTTTAACAAAGATTATGAGGACGCTAGACCGCCTTCGTCACAATAAAGTGAGTAGTTCACCTTTTTAACACATTTATCCATTCAAAGGCTCCTTTAAATTTATAATATACACCCTTCATTTACAAGAAATTAAACTATGAATAGTTTGGATTGGCAGATAGTTTTTGAGAGGAAATCATTTGATAGAAAAGCTCTTAACTTAAAATATAGTGTTTCTAATCATCACTGGTAATTAATTACCCAATCAACCCAGACAACTGAGCGTACTGTGATTCTGTGGATAGGTTAAATTTCTAGAAAGTATGCTTGGTTGTTTAAGATTATGCAAACTTGCAGATTAAGAGAAGATATGATTAAGCCCCAAAGATGAATGATTCTTTGAATTTGTATTCACTAATGTCAATTAGACAGTAATAATAATAATAAGGTCTTTACTGCTTTAATTTTACATTCCATTGCTGTGTTGAATATGGAACCAGTTTCATCACCGGTGAAACTGTGATTGAGGTAGTTGATCTTGTTCAACTAAGCAAGCTCAAAATGTGCATACAAATCAATATAACACTGTATATTTTGCTGCTCCATGCAACAAACATGAAAGGTATTTATTTTGTAAGGTTTATTTTGACTGAGTAGTTAGCCCTTCATCTGTTAAAAACATAACATAAATAATTTCATTTCAGATAATGTTGAAAATCTGCAATGTGACTGCCACTGACATTAAGATTTGCATGATTTCATCAAGAAGATATAATAACAAATAGGATAAAATTTCAGTGATGTTAGTGGTAGTGAAAAAGGTTGCATGTGAATGTTTTCAATCTTCATTATGAATTAGGTTTTCATTTAGTCCTAATAATTTGTTACCTACAGTTTTTGTTCCTAAACAAATTATATAAACAGTGTTTTAATCATTGAGTTTTGTAGCATTTGATTTCTTAGAAGTAATTTTGTTTGGGGTTTATTTTTATTATACTGTTAAAATATTGGTTTAAAAGCATAATAAATTAAAGCTCTTCTTTTTGCTTGAAATTTTACCTTGATGTGACAATGTTCAGAATTTGACAAATAAAGTTCCAAAATGAAATTAACAGTACAGTAATTTAAATGAAAATTTTGTACAGAGTATTTTTAAGAAATTCTATGTTAATTATTTATTAAAACTCCATTTGTGTTAACATGAATATGGTATAATAGGACATTTGCACAACAGTTTAGAGTTAAAAGTATAATTGTTTTTATAAAGGTGAGGCCTGATAATCATTTACACACTTATTATGATACATACAGGGCGATTGAATGTTGATGTGACAAAATAGTTAAGGTGATAAATTGGGGCAACTATAATGTAAACCCTCAATTTCATTTGTATAGCTGAATTGTGAATATATCTTACATTATATTTTAGTTTACGTACCCAAGTAGCACACATTGTTGGCCCAACGTTGGGAAATTTTAACGCGTTGCCAATATTGGCCCAATGGGAACTTGTGATAGTTGTGATAATAGATACAGTGGTGCACCTGCTTAACATATAATAATTATAATAGTACAAATAATACAAAAAATAATATTCTCAAACTTATTTGAGCAAATTTTTAATAGTTGAACAATATAAGGGGTAAGATTAGTTAATCATATAACAATCAATTATAATAGCATTACTAATCTAATGGTAACCAAACAATCTATATTCAAATACCAGTATCCTCTCCAATTCCCAGAAAAACAATTCAACTACTTGATGCCTAAAGCCGGGTTTTTCTAGGCGCGGAAGTAGAGAGCGGAGAGAGGAACGCGGAGTGCGGACTCCACTTGTCTTAGGTAATTTAATGTTAGTGTTTTCCTAGAAGCGGAGCGGAACACTATGTTAATCTCTTTTCCGCTCACGCGTATCTCTTTCCGCTCTCCACTTCCGCGCCTAGAAAAACCCAGCTTTAACAGATTGAATGAATCATATTACAGGGTAAGGCAAAAGTCTGGAACCCCCCAGTTAACTTTTTAACACGTTGCAGTAGGAAAACCAAACTTGGCACATATTTACAACATAAGAATTTGCACTTTTTGATAAAAGTTACAACTTTGTCCCAGCCCCGAAAATGGGGTATTTTGGGGGCAGCCCCACATTTTCAAATGTAAACACCTATCATGTGACCCCTAATTTTAAAGGGTTTATCAAGAGAAATTGAATGGCGCCAAATAGAGGTCAATCACACCCCTAATCAAAATGGCAGCCATTTTAATTATTTAAGATAAGCAAGCAAGATAAAGTCTGGACACCCCAAGTTAACTTTCGAAATGTAATATTTTACCCATGTAGCAAGAAATGTATATAATACGTAAATATTCGGGATTAAGGTATAACCAACGTATATGTATTAATGATACAGATAATATACATATTATATACCAATATGAAAATACGGTTTCATCCAAAATAAATTTTGCATAAAATATTGTAAAATGAAGAAACAAAGTGTAAATTTTCACCTAAATGTTGTTTTGAGAGCATAAATTAACTTTCGAGAATGCAGTAAAATAAGTAAAGGTATTGATGATACAGATAATATATGTATTTTATATCAATAGAAAAATACGGAAAAAATTGTAGTGTTGTATTTATTTCCCTGCATTTTTTCAACATCCTGTGTAAAATGTATTTGTAACACATACTGTACTATAATATTCATAGATGATGAACAAAATATTCTGCCGCGCGAGATACCCGAGTCTCTGCGTTTTCTTAGGTTCGACGATGTTCGCTGATGCATTATGGGAGCAAAACAGCGGGGGTCAGCATCCGACCCGCCACCGCCATATTGTTTGTCTTAATGTCTTTGTCTCACAACTCACAACACAACAAACGTTGTCCTTGTGGCTGTGTTTAGACTAGAGCATCTACTTCTGATTTTCAGTGTTACACGAGAAGAATTCGTTGTGTTGTTATTATTTACTTATTAATTAGGTCTATTAGTTACTTTTTACTTTATATTCTTTAAGATTTGCGTTACATCTTCGACTTTTTAACTTCAGTGGCGATTCGACTAACTTGAGTTAAGGTAAGTTACACAAATTATTATCGTTATTGTAAGTTATTAAGAGATTTAGCATATATGTTTTGTTAATAACTCGAATGGTGGTAATCTAATTTAAATACTTTATAAGTGGAAATAGGTTACAAATTAAGTTAGCCTTCCTAACCCCTTAAAAACTCTACGGATGGAGGCTCTTTAGGGAAAAAATAGGCTGTAGTTTACAAAACTAAGGAAGCCAACTTCAGGAGATAACCTAGACCTAATTCATTGCAATATGTCCTTGGTCTGAACTAATTTAGCTTTGGAGACAAGCTAGGCCTAGGTCTACTTAACAAATACCGTAGCTAAACTTATGCCTAAGTTACTTAGAACCTGTCATAAGTTAGCCTAGGCCTAACTTACAGTTAAGACTAAAAATGATGTTAATTGGTAAGTTTATGTTAAAATTCAGGCCTAGTCTTGTAGGCAGATGAATATTTTAAGACCAGAAGGGGGTAACTTAACTTACAGTTCCGAAGAGAACCTGTGATCTGTGAACAGATGGATGACTTAATGATAAATATCTTTGGTAAGTTAAATTAAATGTTTATTCTTCTTCCCAATGTAAACATCAAATTGACCTATGATTTGTTTTGCCTACGTTTCTATCGATATTAACTAGCCTATAAGCATATTTAACCACAAACAAAATATAGCCTGAGACGGTAACTTACTAGCAAAATATAGCCTAACCTATTTAATGAAAAAGCAACAAAAGAAAACATTTAGTTAGCCTCTTAGGCCTATAACTTAATGTATAAGCTAACTGGGAAAATTAAAGTCAATGCAATATTAAAGTTAACTAGGCCTAAACTTAGGCCTAGGCCTATGTTAATATTTATAAAAATATTGATAAATCGTTATTGATCTGATAACTTAATAAGATCGCAGGTTCTCTGCGGAACTGTAACCCCAGAAGGCTGCAGCTTTATAATTAGGCCTACGTCCTTCAAAACTATCGAAAGGAAATGTCAAACAAATAACTTAAGGTGCCGCATTTGCGATCAGTAGGTTATGGTTAGGTTAGGTTTAGCTACCGGTATGTTTTTTTTTTTTTGTTTAAGATTAACTTCTAGGTCTAACTTATGAAACAACATCGCAGCTACGTTTAGTAATAAACTTGAACGAAAGTTTGCATAAGTCAAGAGTAATTTTTATCAAGGCTTGGCACATAATAGCCTAGGGTACTATTTATTTATAGATGGCACTTTGAAGGGTAACAACGCTATCAAAATGTATATCAAATATGCCTATGACATCACATCTGTCTTTCTAAGATCTAGGGATGAAAGTTTTAACTTACCCAGTACCGCGGTTAAAAATGGGCCCTGGTCCAGGGGCGCAAGAGTTTTTTTTTTTTTTTTTTTTGTTGGGTGAGCTAGTAACAGACACTAATTGGAAAATATCTGAAACCTCCTCACTTCGTCTTCCACTCATGACTCATCACTGCCACTGTTTGCATATTAGGCCTATCATTAACTATACTTAATCGTCTGTCTTTATTTGTAGGCTATTAATTTGTTATGTCCTTTTTTCATTATACTCAATGTCAGTTGCTTTTGTCAAATGGCGAGAAACTTATTACAGTATCAATTTGTTAGCAAGTAAAGATACTGGCCGTGTTTTTGCTTATGATTTTATTTACGTTTGAAGAATGTTATTTTACGTTGTAATATCACACCCTTTTTCTGTGAAATGAGCAAAAAACCAAGTGGCAGTGAGTTTAGAAAGAGGGCGACATAAAAGATTCGTACGGTAAAAGTGTTACAAAAAGTTCCTAAAATAAGTAGCCTAGTTTTTACGGTCATTAAAATCATTTAGGCCTAAATGATGATGTGTACAGAAAGTGATGTAGGTAAATCTGAAAATGAACTTTGATGATGTTAAGTTATTGACGAGTTGGCCGAAAAAAAATGTAGAAAAAACCAGCCATTTTACGGTATTGACTTTTTGGAGTTTTAAATGTTTGCAA